ACTCTTTCCTTACCTCTTGTCTTGTTCTTGTTTGTGCATAACATAACGCAGGCCGAGAAGCAGATTGAGATATATACCAAGCAAGGGTTCTCTAATCTCCCGATCTGCATGGCGAAAACCCAGTACTCGTTCTCACATGAGGCGTCAAAGAAAGGAGCACCAACAGGGTTTGTGTTACCGATAAGAGATGTGAGAGCCAGCATTGGAGCTGGTTTCATCTATCCACTGGTCGGTACGATGAGTACAATGCCTGGACTCCCAACGAGACCTTGCTTCTACGACATTGATCTCGATACTTCTACTGGAAAGGTTATCGGTCTCTCTTGATTCTCTGCATCATCGAGATCACTCTGCTCGTTGTCACCCTTCTTGTGAAATGCAATAAGGCTTTCTGGGTGGGTATCAATCAGTCTTTGTAATAATATGTTTCATCATTCCAACTCTTGAAGTTTGTGGGTGGGTTTTTTGCTTCTTCACAGGAACAGCTTTGTGTCATGTCTCTTTAACGTTGTCCCCTCTGAATAAAAATCCTTCTATAATGGGTTTTACTGCCCATTTGTTTGATTCTTGGTTGTGAACAAACCCTAATTTTAGAAACAGCATTTGTTACATGCATAAGCCCCTTTTCTGTTGATTTTACAATTCAACAGGAACGTTGGCTAGTCTCGTGGTCTCTGCGGTGTGATAGAGGTCAAAATGCAGACTGTCAAAAAGGAAGATCATTGCTAAATGTTTCACTCAGGTTTCAGACAAGAGCATGGTGTTACAATGTAGAGAATAAAAAATGAGGCAAATGGACATAGATTCTTCTGGATCACATATGAAAGATTCTGGAAAAATCGATCCGAAAATCATGCGCTTGTTGGAGCCTTGTAGAGTTTCTCAACCATCTTCCTATACTCTGCGAGGCAAAAGCATGTGATAATAAGAACTAAATTCAGATACCACCCAGAAATTCTGTCTTGTTTATATAATCAGTATCTTTACCTTCCTGGTTGCTCCATAGCTGAGCTGCTTGAGTGTTCAATGGCGAGCTGATGTTCGGTTCTGATCAACGAGAGAGATCACAATCAAAAATCGGATGTCAGATTTCAACCAAAACACAATGGCTCATGGAAATCAAAAGGGTACCCCAGAAATCTATTACCTCCCAGAAGGCTCTGGATGGAGAGTAATATTGTCCTTACATCATAGGCAGATGACCATTTATCCTGCAAACAAAAGATACACAAACATGGATTCTTCTTGATTCATGGCAACATTTACATGATTTAACCAACGTTCTTTTTATTCTACCTGAAGAATGTCCAAACAAATGTTGCCATGGAGATCGACATTGGGGTGAAAGCAGCTTGTTTCGAACTTAATCTTGGGAGGCTTGAAGGGATAGTCATTGGAGAAGGAGAGAGAGAGTTTGTACTCAGTTCCTTCGAACACAGTGTCTTTGCTTCCCAAGATTGTCCCTTTCCAGCAGAATATGTTCTCTTCCTCTGGGAATGCTGAAATTCCGGGATCACTGCTCATCTGAACCACCATAGCCAACCCATCTTTAGCTTCTTTACCAATCAGAGAGGATCGAATGAATATAAGAGAATGGGGAAGGGACTTACCATCAAACTCATCAGTTCAGATTGTAGCCTGCATTCATAGGTAGGGAAGAAGAACCCATTAGGAATCGACCAAATTTCCAGGAAAACCAACGTTCGAACAAGACGTTTATCGAGAAATAGATCCTTCAAATTGGTAAATGATTAGTTTTCTCGGAGGAGCTCTAATGGCAGAGTTCAGATTGAAACCACACCAGAAGATCGGAGAGATAAAGAAGTCAGATCGAAACCAAATAAACCCAATTCAATTACCCAATCCAGAGAAACACAGAATCAGTCAACACAATGAACAATAGCAATCGAACAAAATCAAAAGATTCATCATGTAAAAGGCCAAGATAGGAAAAGAATGGAAAGGAAGAAAAACCTTTTGAGCACGGATTGGCAGTCAACGCTCTTAGCTGGAGGCGCAGCTTGTTTGGATCCGGCGGTAGCCGCCGGAGTATTTCCCTGATGCCCATTAACCGCAGCCATAACTTTCGTATTCAGATCCCTAAATCAAGACGAGGATCAAATACCCAAAACCCTAATCGCAATCGAATTGCTCCGTCCAAGAAGAATCAGAGGGCACTATCGATTGAAGCAGGAAGGAAGACGAAGACGAAGAGACAGACGGGGAGGCGTTATCCTCTTCGTCTTCTTCCACAGTGAGAGAGAGGGAGAGGTGGATCTGGGTATAAAACGGCGTGTGTGGTGAGAATAAAAACTACATCGGCGTGATGAATAAAAAGGAAAAAGAAAAAAAAACGGAAAACGATAGAAAATATTTTCCGAACGTTAGAGGAGAGAGCGGCTCTCGAGGGATTTGAAATGAAACCAACGGCTAGTTTTTTCAAAAGGAATATTTTAATGCACCCTCCCTGCTTTTCTTCCCTTTATTTTTCATGCCTTGGGAAGAATTTATGCTCTGTCATACAACTATATAATCATAAATATTATGTAATAAAATAAGAAATTTGAGACTTTTTCACTGATTTTTTTTTTAAAAAAAATTTAGACACAATCAAACGGAATGTATCCAATAAATATGTACAATATAAAATATCTTTTGATGAAAAAAGTAGAAACAACTATTTATTATCACTTTATTTGGTTTTACATAATGCTTGGTTGATTATAATTTATTATCACTTTATCGTACAAATGCGTGATGTGGTGGGCCCATTAGTATTGGACCAATAGGCCCGTCAACAAGATCTCTCTACGGCCCAGTCCAAATCAAGTTTATAGTGATTTTATTAGGAAGATATATGCATGAAAAATGATCCGGTTCGGATTTGAATATGCAGATCCGAAAAATGGGGTTAGACTTAAATCGGTTTTTGGATTTGGTCGGGCTACCCGATTTACAAAAATTGTAAAATAAAAATAATAATAAACAGCTTCCGTGAGAAACGAACATGTCATATATATATGACAAACCTCCTATTCTTCCACTCCGAACCTTTTTTTTTATTCATCCTTTGTATGTATGCTCCTCTGCTTCTCCATCGCCGGAACCAGCCGCCTCCACCGTCTCTGTCGCCGGATCCGGCAGAATCTCGGCCAGCTCCGGCTGAATCTCCTCCAGCTGCTGAAGAACTTCCAGAGCTTCCGGCCTAGCCTCCGGCGAGGGATCCACACAATGCAGAGCCATCTTCAGAGTGTTGAGAAGCTCGTCCCTAACGTGCTGAGCCTCTCTCATCAACTCCAAATCGAATACTTCACCGGTCCACTCCTCTTTCACGACGGAAGCAACCCACTGAGGCAGATCCAATCCATTCGTCGTCTCTCCGGGGGACTTCCCCGTCAGAAGCTCCAGTATTATGACTCCTAGGCTGTAGACATCTGTCTTTGTGCTCGCGTACTTCATCTTGGAGAACTCTGGAGCTCGGTAGCCGAGCGTCCCAGCCGTCGCGATCACGTTTGTGGCCGCTGCCGCAGTCATGAGACTGGAGAGACCGTAATCGGCGATCAGAGCATTTGTCTGCTCGTCCAGGAGGATGTTGCTCGCTGTGAGATTCTCGTGGACCATGTTCTCCTTTGTGTGGAGGTGAGAAAGGCCTCGAGCTATTCCTTTCGCTATCTTCATTCTCGTTTCCCACGGGATTAGACTCTCTGGGCCTCGAGCTGTCATTGTGCAAGATTTCACATGAAAAGAGAGACTTTAGGGACTCAGAGCGTTTGTAACAACGGGATGCCAAAAGCCCGAAAGTTTTGAGTTAAAATCGAAATTTCGGATTAAGGGTTTGCGCAAAATCAAAACTTTGGATAAGAATAATTATAAATGTGGATTTTTATTCTTACTTACCGTGAAGAAACGAAGAGAGGCTTCCCTTAGGCATGTAGTCAAAGACGATCAACTTCTCTCCCTTGGGACCCAAGTAATAAGCCCTAAGTGCCAGAAGATTTGGATGCCGAATCTTCCCCAAGGCCGCCACCTCTGCTTCAAACTCTTTCACCCCTTTCGTGTTCTTTTCCCTCAGCCGTTTCACCGCCACCTCGTTACCGTCCTCAAGCGTCGTCTTGTAAACCGTCCCATAAGCACTCTTCCCCATTATCTCAGCCGTAGCACACAGAAGATCGTCGGCCGTGAACACAAACGGGCCTTCGAAATGCACCAGCTTTCCTCCCATCTCGCCTCCTGCTGCTGATTCTGCCGCCTTCTCGGGGGCGGACCTTGTTGAGATCTTCCCTTCCTTTTGTTTCAGAGCAGAGCGTTTCTTCATGAGGCAGTAGAGTAGGATGCAGCATAACAGGAGCAGAACAGCTAAAAGAGCTCCAATGGCGATGAGAATTATGTCTTTAGCGGATAGTTTTCTGTGGTGGTGGTGGTGTTTTTGAGGTTGTTGGGTTTCTGCTGGTGGCGAAAGATTCGGAGGGTGAGTTGGAGAAGGACATGGGTTTGAGGCGTTGAAGCCACAGAGCTGAAGGTTTCCGACAAAAGAACTCGAGTTGAACTTTCTGGCGAGAGGAGGTGGGACGGGTCCGGACAGGCTGTTGAACGAGACGTTTAGAGAAGAGAGATTCGCAAGATTGATCAGAGATTGGGGGATTTGCCCGGTGAAGTTGTTTTCAGACAGATCGAGCTGACTGATTCTGGAGATGTTCCCTATGGTCTCGGGAATTCGGCCTTCAAACTTGTTCCTCTTGAGGTTAAGCAATATAAGATTCTGCATCCCATCAATGGCTTCCGGGATTCGCCCGTTGAGGCGGTTGTTTTCGAGATTCAGCAAAGCTAGAGAGGAAAGGTTGGTGAAGCTGTTTGGAATGGTCCCGATGATCGAATTGAAAGACAGATCAAGGTTCTGAAGGTTTGAAAGAGTTCCCAACTCCCGGGGAACGACCCCGGAGATCTGGTTATGATCTAGAGAGACATGTTCTAACAAGACAAGCTTCCCAAGAGACGGAGGAACAGTTCCAGAGAAGAGATTATGATTGAGGTTCAAGATTTTGAGAGGATGGGACTCATTTCTCAGTGTTTGATCTCCCCAAGAGACAGGGATTGAACCAGAGAGGTTATTGTGCTGAAGATCAAGAAACGTGAGTGTATATGGCCGGGTGAGACTAACGGGAAGTGGACCAGAAAGCGAATTATAGCTAAGGTTGAGCCTGTAAAGCCTGGTGGAAACGGCCAGACGAGAAGGGATGGACCCGGATAACTGATTATTGCTCAGATCAAGATTTTGGAGAAGAGGGCAGTTACCAATGGAGGCAGGGATCGAACCCGAGAGGCGATTGTTGAAAAGATGGACTCCGCGGAGATTGCGGAGGAAGCCGAGGGACTGAGGGATGGAACCGGCAATGACATTGTCGTGAAGGCTAAGCTTTCTGAGAGCGGTGAGTTTTCCGACTTCCTCGGAGATTCTGCCGCCGAGGCCTTTCCACGGGAGCTGAATAGCGATGACCTGGCCTCTAAGGCACCTGATTCCGGCCCAGCCGCCGGAGCAGACGCCATGGCCGGAGTCGTTCCAGGTCCTGAGAATGCCGGCGAAGTCAATGAGGTCGTGTTTGATGGCACGAAGGGCCTGGTAGTTCGCCTGAGTCACGATCACACCATCCAAGGGGTGGTGGCCCGCAATAGCTTGAGGAGTGAACAGTGAGAGGCAGAAGAGGAGATTTGTGAAGAAACCCAGGTGAAGTCTATAGCTTTTTCCTCCCTTGGGAAGAACTCGAGATGGGTTTTTGTAAAATCCATTCATTTTACAAGGATAAGCGCTCTTCGTTTTAGAAAGAATCAAAGAATCCTAAAAGAAGAAGAGAAAAATCAAAGAAGAAAGAGGCAGAGTTATTGTAAAAATGAACAAGAGAAGAAAGAAGAGCTTAGGATCTTGTTTTTGGAGGAAGGAAGCGTAGATTTAAGAGTTTTTTTTTTTTTCTCTGTCTGTCTTTGCTATGGTGTGTCGTGTAACGGCTAGTTTCTAAGTCTTGCGCCAACATGAGAATATGGCCAACGGCTATAATGTCACGGGGGGCAGCGTTTTTTTTTATTGACTATTTATCGGGATTTGATTGGACCATTTATAATTTTATGTTTTTGCTGTTTCTATGCATTTGGGAATCTGTCAAAAAATCTCCGATGGTTTTGTAGATATAATATATAACACTTGTCCTATAGTTTAGTGTTCAGAACTCGTGTCGGTAACCGCGCCGTTTGTTGTGTCCACTTTCAGACAGAAAAAAGAAGAGGAAATCAGCCCATCTGTTAGTTAATGGCTGATTATATAAGCCGTATTTTCTGAATACTTGCCAATTGAATGGAAAAATACATCGAGTTGGTGACGGGAGGAGCGGTGGAAGCCCTTGTTGGCAGATCTTGGGAGGATCTCGCGAATGAGAAATAAAGTAGCCAATGACAGAGCGACACGTCACACAATACGTTTTTAGGCCCCATTATAGGCCCACCTTTTTGCCGAGTAGCGAATTGTCTCCCAATCCCTTCGTCTCGTTTAATTTACGAACTTGTAATAATTCTAAAAGTTTCCGTATAAATGACCCCTTTCAGGAAATGAACACATCTAAGGGAATAAAATGGATCAGAAGCATTCAGTAAACTGTGTGATGAAGCCATTGTTGTTACAGACAAGACATGGCAGTTGGGTTCAAGATATACATAGATATAACTAAGCTCAGCTGATTCACATTAGAGAGACATTCATTACAAGATCTCAAAGCCAGCAAACCACTAGGACCAATCACTCACCTCAAGTTCAAAGCAATCTTCTTCTTCTTCTTCTTGCTCTCTTTGTTCAACAAGACAGAGAACTTCGCGAAACCAAACTTCTTCCTCTTCCCTGTCAACCTTTTGCCAACATTCTTCCTCTTGCTCACACTGCTTTCCCCATTGTTGTCAGCCTTACCAAGCATCTGACCAAGCGACACTTTCCGTCTCACAGCCATTTCCGACTCCTCTGCCAGAAGCAGCTTCCTGCTCAGGATTTGCCCTATCGACATTGTGGGTTTCAGCACGGGCACCGAGGGCAACCCGTCTTTTGTCAGATTCAGGCCGTTAACATCCATCAGATGTGTCTCCCTCCTGTGCTGTGGAGGACAATGGTTCTTGAACTTCGCCCTGTTGTTCACCGACGACGATCTTCTCCTCTGCCCGTTATCCGATCTCCATTTCCGAAGCGCCTCTTCTGCTTCTAGCTTTGCAGAGTTAGCCGCCTTGACTCTCTCGAGGGCTTCCTCTAGTGCCCTCTTGCTGGTTGTGATTTCTTTGGCAGCCTTGTCTACTTTCTGCAGAATCTCTGTCTTAGATACGTTTGCTTCGTCGACTCTAGACACGGCATCTTCCACTCGTTTCCTGGCTTTTTCCTCGGCATCTTTAGAGTTTTGCGTTAGATAAGCATACTCTTCAGCCGAGATCATCACTACATCATTGTTCTTGCTTCCCGTCGTCACAGCCTTGATTTCAGCAAGTGCCACTGCTTCAGCTGCTCTGGCGGCTTCCTTCATCTTTCTAGCCGCCACCAGCCTTATCTCGGCAGTCTTGATCTTGTTTCTCGTGTCTTCGATCTCAGCCATGGCTCTCACTACTGCCGATTTCGCGTTCTCTCCCATCTTCTTGAACTCCTCGGCTTCCCGGCTCAATCTCTGAACCCCCTTTGAGATTTCTGAGGCGTTCTCGGGGCAATTCTCCTTGGCGAATCTCAGCCTTGTTTCAGTACCATCCACCTCCTTCTCTAGAGAACGCACCTTCAGAGACTTCTGGGCTAATCGTTCACGGGTCTTCTCAAGTGCAGTCCTTTCATCGTCCAGCTTCTTGTTCAGCAACTCGACTGATGCACGTATTCCTGCCAGGTCTTCCGTTGTTCTGCACAGGTTCATCTTCGCCTGGTTCAGCTCCATCAATATCTCACCGGCCGGCTGACCGCTGTTTTCCTTTTCAGAAGCTTCCTTCTGCTGAAGCTTTGATTTGAGCTCTTCAACTGTGGCTTTTGTTGATTCAAGCTCTTTCAGAACCTCTAGTGTTTCACGTTCTTTGACGATCAGCTCATTCTCCAGCAATGCCGCCTGAGCTTCCAGTTGCGTGATATCGGCTTCTTCTATGTCGTCCTGTCACCACGACATCACCATTGGTGGAAATGCTAATAAGCTTTCTCTAAATCAGACCCAGGATTTGCAAAACTCTGAGATATGATGCTATGAAAAAATTTCTAGCAAATTGAAAGCGGGATTGCCAGAGAAACTTCCATTACAGGAGCAGACCAAGAACAGAACATCATCTTACCAAACTGATGTATCAAAAGTTACTGCCTTGAAAATCAGGTTGACAATGGGATTCTTAGGTTCATGCTACAACTATCCAACATAAGACAGAAGCATCAGACAGATCCTTTTTTTTTTCCCTGATCCCGTAAACAGTAAACAATAATCAGACATCATAATGGTGTTTAGCGCAAGAACCAAACATAATCATCAAACACCAAGTCTTAATTTCTCAGCAACAGAGAGATACTCATTGGGACATCATCATCTTTTCGTTTCAGACAAAATCACCGCCATATCCGAACAATCCAATTTCAGGGCATGGGCTTTCAAGCACGCTTAAAAAGTAAACAGCAACAGATGAAACACCAAGCCCCCAAAATTAGACACAGACCCTAGAAAGACGGAGAGAGAGAGAGACCTGAGGAGTCTCTGGAACTCTATGAAGATGAGAAGGTTTCCAGAAACCGAATCCGCCGAACCGAGTGGCGGCTTCTCTCACGGACTCGAACGGCGCCGACGTGTCGATCTCCACTCGGCCTTGGCTCCGGGGCTCCGACGGGTCCGGATCCGGGTGGTTGGTAATTACGGGCTGCATTGATGAGCTCGATTCTAGGGTTTCGGCCATGAAAAAGTGCTACAGAAGAAGAAGACAGATAGAGTGAGGTTGGTACTCGGTAGGTGAGAGGATCGAAGTGGAGAGAGCGAGAGATTTATTTTGTCGGAAAGTGGAAGCAGAGTGTTGTTCTCTTCGATACTGCTGTGACTAAGACATGTCCGAACGGTACTGCACGGTCTTCTGTGCGTTGAACGAGAGGGAAAAAAAATTAAAAATAAATATAAAAAATGTTCCCACCATTTTAGTTTTTGAATCAATAATTATATTTGGTTTTTTATGTGTAAAAAATAGTAATAAATGTTTTGAATTAATTATATATTTTCTAATAATAAAACATATTGGGGAATTTGACTTTAGAAAGAAAAAGGGAAAATAATCTTGACCGTTACTAACGTTGATTTGAGCCAATTAAGGAGGGTTTTTTTTGGGTTAAAGAACTCATCTTTTATATGTTTTTTTTCTCTTTTAGTTATTTTTTTTTTAGTTTTGATATTATTGCTCGATGGATGTCCAACGGTCAAAATGTAGGTCCACTATATATTATACTATAATGAAGGGACACATATATATATATATATATATATATATCGAGTATATTTGGAAGGCCTATTGGACGTAAACAGTATAATCATGGGCCATGGCTCGAACGTTGCAAAGTATCATATTACGATCTTATCCGACCATTCTATGTTTATTTTATTTTTTTTGTAACGTATAATATTGGATCTACATGTATAATTATCTTATTGGGCCAATTCGTAAAGCCCATAGGCCCATATATGTCTATTAAGAATTGAATCTAAACACTAACACAACAGCTTAAAATAAAATCATAAACTAGAAATAGTGAAGCCCATTTGGGTTCAGCCTTCTCACACGAAGCCCAATAGTTATATATTTTTTTTTTTATAACCGGATATGAAATAACGAATAAAATAAAACATTTTGTAATAACAATTCGACGCTTAGCCTAAACTACAATAACGAAAAATCAACCAAATAAAATATCCTTACCGAAATATAAACCATCGTTTTCAATACTATATATATATATATATATATGATGACAAACAAATCCCTCCAATTCTTTGCAGATGGACAGTTCTGACTGTCCATTGCAATAATCATTTCGCCTTTTGATTTTGTTCTTCATCACATTTATTTAATATTTCTCTCTCTTTTTTTTTCCATTAAAAATGTTATTGGCTGGCTCCGCTACATTTTTTGTTTTTTTTTTTAATCTATATAAGTCCAGCCCATTATAAGAAAATGAATGCATACAAATCACATATGTATAAATAAATGTAAAAAATAAAATAAAAGTTACTATATATGCAATACACTACACTACGTGGGCTTACATACAACAACACAATACACACGTACATATATATCTATATCTATATATATAATTTGAACTTACCAGTATGGAATTTGGAAGGACCAATTGCTGTCACTAGTCCCCCCCTATAAAAATTAAACAGAAATTAACTATTGGAAATTAAATAAATAATAAAATTATGCAATAAAGAGTGAAACCGTTAGATGACCATATCGAACAAGTGAGATCACTCACACACATAACTTGCATGTGCATATTCACGTGGATCATATAATGTCATATACATATGTGGATGTTTTTTTAACAAATAAAAGTTATAGAAAATGCTATTTGTATATTTAATATCTCTAACCTCCCCACCAGTGAAACTCGTGGGAGTACATACATTTATAATGTCGAATACAGTTATATAAATACATTTTTTCCCTCAAATTTCAATAATTGATAACAATGAATTATGTAATAACGGTTCGCCTTAACCAGGAAAAAAAAAGAGAGAGAAATATTAATTATAGTGGACCGGCCATAAAAGGACAGCTCAGTGAATCCCACTTCATACGGAAGTGTTGTGTCACATTAGTAGCCACGAATGTTCCATATCACATCAGCACAAAGAATCTTCAGACCGGAAAATCGCACTTCATTACAACCAAACCGCCAACAAACACCGGTCCAAATTTAGAGTCAACTGGTAAACGCTATTTAAAGCGTTTAACTTTTTCGCGATCTGATTTCTACGTTTAGGGCCAACCATAGAAATAAAAATGGTGACTATAATTCTGGCCAACAAAGTATTGAATGGTTGCACGCCCACTTAGTGTGTCTTTATATAAATTTTGGTAATAAAATACAGAGAAATAGTTTTTGAGATTGTATATACAAACTTTTTTTTAAAAAATTTTACAAAACCCCATAGCAAAATGGACAGATACAGCGTTTTTAATTTTAACGCAGAACGCAATTGTAAATGGTTTACCAAATACCAATGACACCACCTACCTATATATTCTTCTTCAGCTCAGCTCATAGTATCTTCCTACGTTCAAAGAAAAAACAGACAAGAATGTTAGACCTTCAACCAAAGAGCAGCTTCAGGATCACAGAAGAGAGCAAATTCTTCACCAAGTTGCTCTCCAAAGAACGCACCGCCCCCGAATCGCCATTTCAAAACTCAGTTTCCGTGCCCTTTACTTGGGAATTACGTCCTGGAATGCCCAGAAACGCTCTCTGTCACTCCTCTCCCTCTCTACCGCCTCCCCCTCTCACTCCTCCTCCTTCCTACCCGCCCAATCAACACCTCAAAACCTCGGGAAAATCCCCAAGATTGAATCTTTTCAACGCATTCCTCGTAAGAATGGGCTCAGGGAAATGCCCGAGATCGGATCTTTTCAACGCATTCATCATGAGAATCAGCCTGAAACGCATCAAGAAAGCCGTTTCACCGAGTTCTTCACTCTCTGTATTGTCGTCCTCTGATTCGCCAGCGTTTCTTGAGCAACAGAGGTCATGGGATTCTGCCCTCGGTCCATCTTTTGAGACCACCGGTTCGTGCTTCAGGATCAGTAGCTGCCATGGAAGCCATTGATGACGTCACACTCTCTATTCATCTGAGACAAAAAATGCAGACTTATGAGACAAACCCACCAGTATTTATGCCTCAACTGTCACAATCTAGCTTACGAGTTTGCATGGAAATGGTATTCTATGATTCCCAAGACATGTATAAATGCTGAAATAACGTGATAACACGACATTGTGAATTTTCCATTTATCCATCAACCCACTAGTGTATATGCATCATCATTCATTTGATTGATCATACTAAGTTTTACATTCACGAGTTCAATAAAAATAAAGATACACAAGACTCAAGGTTCTCATTCTTCAGATTTACATGTTTAAATACCATAAATACATGTTTAAGGTTTTGATGATTTAACAAGCGGATGAGTATTCTACACATATAATCTGTCCTTCCAGTAGAATCAAATAAAGTTTTTTTTTTTTTTTTGTGTATTTGATCAATTCCTTCACGAATCTAATGCAAGAATTTGTCACCTCAGTTCCAGAGGCCAAGATCAATCCTCGTCTACATCCTCGCTCTCTCTCGGGTGACTTGATGAATTGCATTTGCTATGTAAGTCGCATTGCTCGGAGTAACACCCGCCATGCTGTTTTGAATTTACCATGAAAACAGTCGTGAAAAGTTTCATATTAGAGAAATATGACAGTGAACATGAATAATGGATCTTTTAAGGAAGATTTCGGGTAATGTTACCTTATGCGGCCATCAATGGTCATGGATATGTGGAATTCCTTCCTCAGCCGTTCCACTTCATTCGGGGCCAGGCCAGAAAAGCAAAACATCCCAACCTGTGTTGTTATCAAAATTTACACAGAATTCTCAAATTGGGCCAACATTCTGTACAAAATTATGTAACTTACACGATTAACTTGCCTTAAGTCTTAAGCAAGGATATCAAACAAAGGTCAACTAACATACTTTGTCTATATTATTATTTTGGTATGGTTTCCAGAATTCATTGTGGGCAAACAGGACACAGAACATCACATATTCTTTAAACAGCTGTGGTTACGGTCCAAATCCATGTGTCTCCTTTCATATCCGTTCAGCTTTTCAGCATTTTCCTCCGGATGGAGAGTAAATTTCTTACATTTTTTCCTCCAATAATGTCAAAATTCCATATAGTCGCCACCCAGAACAGAAGAACATATGTATTGTCAGTTTCTGACCTGGTCTGTTATGTGTTGCCAGTTGAGAGAAAAACTAAGTTTCTCAAGCTCTTCACGCAGGGCAGTTCGCATTGTCTGAATCCGGTTAGTCATGACCTTTACATGGCATGGCAAAAACTTTTCAACGTTTCATGATCATATGAGCATGAAATGTACTGAAATTTTAAAGATGGTAGACAAAATTTCTCAAAAAGACCTTCAATTCTCTTTCCCATAGGGCTTTGATTTCGAGATTGGTTAAAATCGTAGAGACAAGCAACAGTCCATGCATTGGGGGGCTTCCATACATTGACCGCGCAATCTGCTGCAACTGGGACCTCATCATGCTTGCCTGAACTGCGTCATTGGCAAGGACACTAGACATGTAGAGATAGCGTTTTCGTTAGGTATCAATTTGGTCGGGAGGACAAAGAATAATCTCTCAATAAACCTCAATATGTGATTATAATATGTATAGAAAGAGGGAGGAGACAATCTTGATGAACATAAAAAAAAACTAGAGGTTCATAAATTAAAAAAAAATTCAAACAAAGTAGATCGGTCAATTACGTACCTAAGACAGCCAACTCGGTGCCCATACAACCCCATGTTTTTTGCAAAGGACTGGGCGCAACCAATCAAGTGTCCATCTGATAACACGATTTTCTCATCTATTTCAAAGCCCATTGTGTAGCACTTTCGCATCGGTTGTATGAATCATTAGACACTTAAGATCATTTTAGCACTGGGTTTTGCTTCTTCTGCATTTTCTGGTGATTGAACAGGTGATGGATGCACTATGGATGTAAAAGGAGCATAATCGAGGACTTCGGAGCACACGGGACCGGAACAGAACGATCAAGGCATTTCTAGCTCGAGTTGCGCCTGAACACGGCCGAGTCGAGTTTAAACACGGCCGTGCAAAAGCGAGGAAACGAAGACATTCTTACAGACAATTGACACGGACCGTGTCGAGTCAAACACGGCC